CCGCCCACCGCCTGCCCTGCCGGAGCCGCTGTCTGGGCTCCCACTGCCCCCACCCCGAGGACAGCCCTCGACTTCAGGGTGGACCAGCATCGCCCCCACGCACCTGCACACCTGCACACACAGGTGGCCCTGATGCCCACCCACTGAGCCCACCAGCCGGGGCTAAATGTGTGCATTTTTGATAGAAAACAAAATACAACAAGGGGTTGTTGTAGCTCCCGCTTTTAGGAAGTTCGGTGTAGACAGAGTTCATTAAATAGCCGACCTTGTTGCCGCCATGGTGACATGGCGATTCATTCTGTATTTTCCTCAATGTTTGGGATGCTGATGTGGGAGGGACTTGGGGTTTGGGAGGAGAGAACGAGAACTTTCTCATCAGAATATTTGCTTTTTTGGGGGGGGTTGATGAATGACTCAGCTTGAGGTGGATGGATGACTCAGCATGGGAGGGTGAATGATAGCATATGAGGATGAATACTGCAGCATTTGGTGGATGAATGGCTCAGCATGAGTGGATGAATGACCTAGTATGGGGTGGATGGATGACTCAGTATGAGTGGATGAATGACAGCAGAGGGCAGATGAATGACTCAGCATGGGAGGATGGATGACTCAGCATGGGAGGATGAATGGCTCAGCATGGGAGGATGGATGACTCAGCATGGGAGGATGGATGACTCAGCATTTGGTGGATGAATGACTCAGCATGGGAGGATGAATGACTCACACAGGAAGGTCTCAATTCTGACTCCCGCCTGTATACCCTGCTCACTTTCCAGGCCCAGCTTGTGTTTCCCCTGAATCCCTGGCCGACGCTATCACACGGAGCCCGGCTCCCTGCTCCTCCCGCCGTCTCAGGCCCTCCTTGCGCCTCCTGCCTGGGAGCTGAGCACACAGTGATTGACGGGACTGCGTCTTGCTCTGCCTGGAGGACACGCCCCTCCTGCAGCGGGCCTCGCCTTGGCGACGGGCCAGACAGTTTCTGTTAGAGAAACAGGTTCCTACAAGTAATTACACCAACCCTGACCGGGAGTTTTTACAGTCAAACTGCCTGAGTGTCCCCACCTCCGGTGACGGTGACGCATTCCTTATGCACTTTCCCTAAACCCAGGACTATGAAACCTGAACACTTACCCGGAGGGAACTGAAACCTGTAAAAGCTTAGGCATTCCACAGCTCCATTCAGCCCCTCTCTTCAGAAACGACAGTAAACTCCTCCAGGCAGAAAGGGAAGCCAGAGGGGAGGGAGGTTTGCCCCCGGAGGGGAATCTGGGCTCCTCCGAGCTCCAGGACACAGCCTCCCTCTCAGGAAGGTCACAGGCTCTCCTGTGGAAAACGGTATCCGCGTGTGACAATCCCTGAGGACAGACAGCTGCTTGAGTCTCACCAGGGGCCGGCCTCAGCACAGACGGACCGACCGGCTTACTCAGTTCACACGGGCAGTTGGCGAGCTTGCCTGCCTCGCCACCCGCTGTCCTGGGGTCAGAGGCAGAGACGACAGGGACATGGGGCGGTATAGACCCTGACACAGAAGGTCTTGGGCTCCCAGCCTCGTCCCAGACCTGCCAGCAAGTCCTGGGCGCGGTCTGGACGCCACCCCTGATGCGCGAAGGGGCAGAGGCCGCGTGGAGGGGGCGCAGGCGCCTGCGAGATGTGCTTCGACCCCGGCTGGCGGGACGTTGCCACAGTCACGAGGACACACCAGCGAGTTTCTTCTCTCCCACGAGGTAATTCGGAACGGCCACGAATGATGAGATGCTTCTAAGGAAGAGGTAAAGGGTGGGGAAACCCGCCTTCTTTAAGGCAGCGGTTCTCAACCTGTGGGTCGCGACCCCTTTGGGGGTCGAACGACCCTTTCACAGGGGTCGCCGAAGACCATCGGAAAACACATATATAATTACATATTGTTTTTGTGATGAATCACTATGCTTTAATTATGTTCAATTTGTAACCATGAAATTGGGGGTCACCACAACATGAGGAACTGTACTAAAGGGTCGCGGCATTAGGAAGGTTGAGAACCATGGCTCTAAGGTCTTCATAACTTACCCTAGAGGCCTGGTGCACAGAATTTGTGCGGGGGGTGGGGCTCCTCAGCCCGGCCTGCACCCTCTCCGATCATTTAGGGGAAAGCTAACACGCACTGCGGACAAACAAGCTTCACCTTATAGTTTTCCAACCCCTTTCTCTGATGAAGGGGACAGGGCGCATGGAAAGCAAGAGAAGGGAGAACTGGGAAGGATAGTGAAAAAGCTGCCCTGGTCGGTGTGGCTCCGTGGATAGAGCATCAGCCTGCGGACTGAAGGGTCCCGGGTTTGACTCCGGTCGAGGGCACATGCCTCGGTTGCAGGCTCCTCCCTGGCCCGGCCCTGGTCAGGCACGTGCAGGAGGCAACCCATGGATGCGTTTCTCTCACCTCGATGTTTCTCTCTGCCTTGCCCTCTCTCTCCCGCTCTCCCCAAAATCAATGGGAGAATCTCCTGGGGGAGGATTAAAAAACAAAGAAAAGCAGGTCACACAGCGTGAAGGAGGCCACAGCGAGACCAGGTCATGGGGACCGGGCGCCACGAGGCAGCAACACGGACGCGAGGTGCTGACTCTCCCCTCCACGTCCTGTGACGTGAGCCCGTGGCCTCACTTCTCCACGTCTCACCCGGCACTACGGCCGCAGGACCGAGAGGACTTTCACCGGCAAGTCCGGGGGTGGACACAGGAGTTGCCGAGAACATCAACGCTTGACGTGCCCACGAACCCTGCCCTGCGAGCTGTGCTCTCACCCGCCTTACGGAGGCCTGTCCCCCCCGGAACCCCACGTTCTCACTACCACATCCTCCAAACCTACCCAGAGTCCCGTGGCTTTCTCCCTCGGCCACCCCCACGGCGCGTCATCCCCAAACTCCAGAGCAAGGCTTGAAACAAACCAGCAGAGCCGGGTCCCAAAGCTGTTCCCCGTTTTCGGTTTCCCCAGAAGCACCCTCTGTGTTTCGCCGAAGCCATTCCGTATTCCCGCTGTATCGTCTCGTTCTTCAGAACGAGGACAGAAAAGCCCACGGCAACCGCGTCGTTACACACTCATTCGCCGCAGCTGAATCGAACCCTCCGCTGCCCGGTCCCCGGGCGACCGCGTTAGACACGCCGTTGGGAAAGTGAGAGGAGCAGTCAGGGAACAGCGAAGTCGCCTCTCGCGTGTGCTGCGCCCAAATGTATTCTCCATGGCTTTGCGGTTGTTATATTTCCCATAAAA